TTGATTGGTTAGCATGGTCCCAAAAAAAAAAAAAAAAAAAAAAAAAAGCATGGTCCCTGGGATGACGTCCCACTAGCGAAGAGGATTGGACTGAACCACCTGTACTTATTGGACTGACCCACCTGTACTTCCTAAAGTTGTGCCCGTTAACAAGCCACAATTTTAGGAAACGTACGGGTCCCTACAGGAGCGCCCCAATTCATCCGACTATAAACGTTTCTACTCTATTTTTCCCCAGGACCGATAGTTGGGCCAAGTACTGGTGGTTTAAGCCCCTGCGGATGCACGGTTTTTTTTTTTTTTTTTTTTTTTTTTTTTTTTTTTAATTTGCATGTGTTTTTAGCAGAGTTGCAGAAAAAAATTGTTCAATCTCGATGTTCTGCGCCTTTCCATTTTTATACATTCAAAATGTTGGCGCCGGGTGAGTGCTAGAAGGTCGGGGAAGGATGCGTTAGCGGCACAGGGCGATGCGTTAGCAATGCGTTAGCGGCAACAGTTTTTCGACGGTTGGGCTGCAGAGAGAAACCAGTCTGTGCCTAAGCCACGGACCGGAAAAGCCGACGCGCGTGCGGAAATGGGGTCACGCTTCGTTTTCGGTACTTTCGAGGTGACCTCCATAGCGGCGGGATGCTGGGCTAGATCCAGAAGGGAAGGGAAGAAAGGAGTCGACCAGGTTAACTGGTGACGAGGGGAAGACGCAGAAACGTTTCCCCTGTGGCATCTTTCCACCGACACTGGAGTTGCTAACTAGGGTTCTAAGATGAGCAACAAGCTGAGACGTTTGAGAGAAGGGTTTGGTGGGAGGACGTCACCCGGGGTGAAAGTCCAGAAAATGCAAACGCTGCCATACCAGACAAGATAAGAGGTTCCAACAACTTCCTGACTGTTTAGCTATGGATCCTGCTGGGAGTTTGACACAATTGAATACCTTGAACTTGGAGGAAGGGGTGAAGTGGAATTGGGAGATGGAGAGGGAGTAGGACGATGGAGACTCCCGCAGTAATATAGAAAAGTCCTTACCTGGAAGACAACTTTGCATATGGAGTTTACTCTCCTTCGATGTGGCGACGCTTCTGCAAGCAGGCGTGACGTGGGTAATCCCTTCACTTCACTTCAGTGGCTTCCTCTTCCCACCCTTACTTGTCCCTAATTATTGAGGCTTTAGATATATTATTAGTAGGTATTTTTATTAGTTGATGTGTAGTATCTGCATGGTTGTAAATTAACGTTTCGTTACTTTTCGTTGTTCGCGTCCTTCATCGTTGTTCTTCCTTGGACCTTATTCAACGCTCTCTCATGGCCTTCGAAGTCCCCCCGACACCCCCAATAACCCCAGCACCCTTAGGCGTTTCGGCTATGGTGCAGGGAGAAAAAGATCGTATCAAGGGGATTCTCTCCGATTGTTACTCAGAGGGTTTGTTGCCGGAAAATCTGAAAGCAGATAGGGTAGAAGTGGGAGAGGACTACGTACGGGTGTAGTTAACCGAGAACTCTATGCTGTTCAAGAGGAATGGCTTGCAGAGAATGCGGTTTCAATTTGTTTTGATGCTGACTCTAAATCCTTGCCTGTGAAAGTTAGTATTCGTTTAACCCGTATTTATGAGAACGCTTGGTCAGGAGCGGATCAGTTGACGCCCCCTCTAAAAGGGGAGTATTCCATAACGAGGGTTACAACTTAATAACCTATGTGGCGTCTGACAAAAAAATTGTTGAATGGTTGTTAAGGAAAAAGGAAAACACGATTACGATGGATGGCAAAACTTTTAAAATTTCCTTTCGCCCCTGGATGTCAAAGTCCGAGTTGTTCGAGTGGAGGGAGGCTCAGAAATTTCGATTATTTTGGATACGCTGCATGTATGTCTCGGTGGCTGCCTTACCTTATGTAGCGGCGGCAGTCAAGGATGCTTTCGATACTATTTTGAAAAAGCATGACACGTATTCAGAGTCGAATTCGCCTGAAATGAAAAAC